CCGCGCAATTTGCCGCGCGCATCCTCGGACGCACGTAAGTTCCGTCCCCCGTCGACGAGGCATACGAATTGCCCATGGTCCACCACAGTCAGCCAAAGAGAGGATAACACGGAAAAATGCAAATCATTCGCTCCACCGACACTTGGTGGTACTGTAGTGTCGTCTCGAGACCGCAGTGGCTGCTTTCATACTTCGATGTGCGTGCCGGCACGCAGGTGGAATCGCACGTACAATTTTGCATGCGTCGTGCGAGCGGCTATGCGACTGCGGCGCTATCCAACTGTGTGACAGCAGTCATCCTCGATTTGAGGTACCGACCGGTACTCATTGCTGTCACACAGTTGGATAGCGCCGCCGTCGCATAGCCGCTCGCAAGATTGTACCTGCGATTGCCGGGACGCACGTCGAGGTATGAAAACAGCCTGTGGGGTGCGCGAAGTGGGCGGGGTGACGTACTTTCGACGGACGCGTGCAACGGACGATCTCCTCTTTTCCAAGATAAGCCTACTTGCAAATTCAATGTAACTAGGGAAGTAGCCGATTCCGCATTGTGATAGGCGTTATTCAAGAGTAGACGTAATCTTCCTAACTATAAGCCAGGCACTCGTGCTGTCTGTCACAAAATTCGATTTGCCTGAAGAAGCAACTGAAGAAGTCGGGCTAAGTTCAGGAAGGACTGGGCCTAGGGGAAAATCAGTAGAGCCCATGTGTGCTCAGCAAGGCCCAGTCCAGTCATTCGGGAAATTGGGCAAATGCTAGCATTAAAACCCTTTCTATCTTTACAACATATTCTCTATAAAGTCCCACAGCTAACATCATTACAAAGGTTAATAAAAAGAGAGGCGCATGATAGATTCAATCAGAAATCCTTGTATCGGGATTGATTGCGCCATGCTTCCGAGCAACTCTGACTCTCTTCATAAATATCGCAATTTCGTTCCCAAGATGAAAAAGAAAAGGCTTCTAATTTAGCTGCCAAAGTAAGCTCAGAGGATTAGATGCCTGGTTACTGGGTAACGGAACTTCTCCCCTATCGCGGCATTCTCCCTTGCGGCATGCGGCAGATGTCACTGCAATTACCGTACTCACCCCGCCTCCCGAAAATCGATAGGACGCGATATTTTTCCTTGACTGGCTTGCTTTTTCATTGGATTTTATCGTTTTTTCTTCTGTTTCTTTTTAGTTTTCATGTTTATTAGACTTGATAAATTAAAATGACTCCTCTTATATAGACGACGATCAATACCGCATTGAAATTGAAGGGAGCGACCAGCCAATTCAAATGATTAAAGGACTCCCTACCTCACAAATTGCGCGCTCCAATCTTTCATCGCAATCCTGCGATAGGCGGCGGGTGCG